GAGTCTACCATGTATGACTTTACAGACATCTCCCACCTATCTATCCTCCCTAATAGTAGCAGATCAAGCATCTTGTGAATTTTATATTTTTGTCATATGTTTAGAACTTTGGGGAAAAAATTAAGTTATGGAAAATAAAAAGTAAAAAAATTAACTAAATAGGTGTTCTCTTTGACTCCGACCTCTCCTTCAAGCCTCATGTTCAGTTTATCGCCAAGTCCTGCCGTTTCCATCTCAAAAACATTGCGCGCATCCGACCCTAGTTAACGCCAGTTGCGACTAAGGTGCTGGTCCAGTCCACTGTCCTTTCTCACCTTTACTACTGTGATCCGCTTCTCAGTGGTCTTACGTGCTCCCAATTCGCGCCATTACAGTCGATAATGAATGCGGCGGCGAGGCTCATCTTCCTGTCCGCCCACACCTCCCATGCCTCACCCTTCTGTCAGTCCCTACATTGGCTTCCTGTAAGATATAGGGCTCAATTTAAAATTCTGGCTCTTGCTTTCAAATCTCCCACCTATCTATCCTCCCTAATACACAAGTATGTCTCATCTAGGCCCTTGCACTCTGCTGAAGACTTACGTCTACCTTCTGTCCGTCCTCCCACTTCTGCTGCCCGCCTTCAAGACTTCTCGAGAGCTGCACCATTCCTGTGGAACTCGCTTTACTCCCCCGTTAGATGCTCACCCAGTCTCCACTACTTCAAAAAATCGTTAAAAACCCACTTCTTCATAAAAGCGTATCAATTAAAAGGTTAATAGCTCCTGACTGATTCCTCTCTTGCAACTGTCATTAGTCTAACACTATCCTTACCTTTTGTGTCACTTTACCCCACTCCCTCTAGCATGTAAGCTCATTGAGCAGGGCCCTCAACCCCTCTGTTCTTTGCAAAATGTAAGCCCAAATAGCCAAGTTAGATTTTTTTTTTTTTATGCTGGTTATCAAGCCAAAAAAGTCACTGGTTAGTGAATTGCCTGATAAACGTTTGAAGAGGAACTCTCTGGGCTTTGTGGGTGTGAGAAGTTTAAGAATTTTGATCCACTCCAGAAAGGCTAAATGTCATCAAACTCCATAGCAATAAATGGAGCTAAATGGCCCACTCATACATGGAGCTAGAGATCTAATGGCCCACCCACAGATGGAGCTAGATAGCTAATGGCCCACCCACAGATTGAGCTAGAGAGCTAATGGCCCACCCACAGATGGAGCTAGAGAGCTAATGGCCCACTCTTAGATGAAGCTAGAGGGCTAATGGCCCACTCATAGATGGAGCTGGAGAACTAATGGCCCACCCATAGATGGAGCTAGAGAGCTAATGGCCCACCCACAGATGGAGCTAGAGAGCTAATGCCCCATCCATAGATGGAGCTAGAGAGCTAATGGCCCATCCATAGATGGAGCTAGAGAGCTAATGGTCCACCCATAGATGGAACTGGAGAGCTAATGGCCCACCCACAGATGGAGCTAGAGAGCTAATGGCCCATCCATAGATGGAGCTAGAGAGCTAATGGCCCATCCACAGATGGAGCTAGAGAGCTAATGGTCCACCCATAGATGGAACTGGAGAGCTAATGGCCCATCCACAGATGGAGCTAGAGAGCTAATGGCCCATCCATAGATGGAGCTAGAGAGCTAATTGCCCATCCATAGATGGAGCTAGAGAGCTAATGGTCCACCCATAGATGGAACTGAGGAGCTAATGGCCCATCCATAGATGGAGCTAGAGAGCTAATGGCCCACCCACAGATGGAGCTAGAGAGCTTATGGCCCATCCACAGATGAAGCTAGAGAGCTAATGGCCCATCCACAGATGGAGCTAGAGAGCTAATGGCCCATCCATAGATGGAGCTAGAGAGCTAATGGCCCACCCATAGATGGAACTGGAGAGCTAATGGTCCACCCATAGATGGAACTGGAGAGCTAATGACCCACCCACAGATGGAGCTAGAGAGCTTATGGCCCATCCACAGATGGAGCTAGAGAGCTAATGGCCCATCCACAGATGGAGCTAGAGAGCTAATGGCCCATGCACAGATGGAGCTAGAGGGTTAATGGTGATATCTATATTTAACAATTATTTTTTCTTCTGGTCTACAGATGGCATTAAGAGTAAGAGAAAATAATGTGTGATAGTGACAAGGAAGTGCTTAGTTTAGTAACTCCTTGAGTATCTTTCTGAGAGATAGGAGCTCCTATTAGGGTGTATATAATATGTAATTACATATAAAAATAACTCCCTCCCAGGTTTGATATAAAGTTTGTCTCGGATTAGAGGAGAAGTTATAGAGAGAGGTAACACAGAGTAATAGGAGGAGTTATAGGAAGAGGTTATATGGAGTAATAGGGAGAGGTTATATGGAGTAATGGGAGGAATTATAGAGAGAGGTCATATGGCGTAATAGGAGGAGTTATAGGGAGAGGTTATATGGAGTAATAGGAGGAGTTATAGGGTGACGTTATATGGAGTAATAGGAGGAGTTATAGAGAGAGATTATATGGAGTAATAGGAGGAGTTATAGAGAGAGGTTATATGGAGTAATAGGAGGAGTTATAGGGAGAGGATATATGGAGTAATAGGAGGAGTTATAGAGAGAGGCTATATGGAGTAATAGGAGGAGTTATAGAGAGAGGTTATATGGAGTAATAGGAGGAGTTATAGAGAGCGGTTATATGGAGTAATAGGAGGAGTTATAGAGAGAGGCTATATGGAGTAATAGGAGGAGTTGTAGAGAGCGGTTATATGGAGTAAAAGGAGGAGTTATAGAGAGGTTATTTGGAGTAAAAGGAGGAGTTATAAAGAGAGGTTAGTTGGAGTAATTGGAGGAAATTTTTTTATTACATTTTCTTACAACAAATTACAAAACAGTGTTCAATGTATCAAAAACATATACAAAAATACAATTAAAAACAAAATGTCATATCTATATTTTCCCAATAATCTGTAGTTTGTTCTTTTACATATACATCTTTTATGTCTTTAATTATCCGATTAATCACAGAATCTTTTGTTAAAATAATTTGTTTTGATGATTTTAGACACCTCGCTTGCTATAAATGATATATTACAATACAATTAATTACATATAAAGTGCATTTGTTAATCTTATCTGCCCATTTGAAAGCTCCATATACTAATTCAGCATATGACTGTCCTTTAAAATTGGATATTTTAAGAAGTATGGACATTTCTGTCCATATTGCTAAACTGAAGGGACAGTCACACAAAAAATGACACATTGTTTCTAGCATCCCTGAACATTCTTCCCTCGGACAATTTCGTTCCTCAAGTTTTTTAAATTTCAAATTAGATCGAACGTATAAATTTTCCTTAAAAACTAAGCCAAATAACATCTCTCAATTTAACTGGTATTCTCGTGCTAGTAACATTCTGAATGGCTTTTTTCATTAGGGTATTAGGGCAGTCTTTTAAAACCAGCTGGGCACTATAGTACTTATTTAACAGAACATGATATTGTTTTCTATCTAGCCCAGTGATATCTTCATATGAAATTTGCCATCTCAGCAACAACTTTATACATTGCTGAGCATATAGAGAGCAATGTTTAACCTTACCAGACAATCTTTTGATCTTTACACCTCTTGTCCAAACTCCAACAAAGTGATTAATTTTGTTTTTATATAAGACTCCCCATAAATCTGTTCTACCGGATTTAAAAAAAAAAAACTTAAATTCTTGGTTATAAACAAGAAATTGTAAAAAAGTTCAGGACAACATGCCTAATCCTCCATCTTTCCTATGGAGATATGAAATGTTACGTTTAACAATATTTAAACGATTTGCCCATATTAGCTGGAACAACAAACCGGTTATCTTAACCACTAAATTATCAGGTAATGGAAAGACAAAACTTGTATAAATAAAAATGGGAAATAAAAATCGTTTGATAGCTTGAATTTTCTTTTGGTAAGACCATTTCCAATTTTTCCATTTGTGTATTTTATCTGAGAATATTTTAAATTTATCATCCCAATTTCTCTGGGCAATGTCTTCTACACATCCATATGTAATACCCAACACTTTGATTGTTTTATCCTTTCTTTTAAAAGGGATTTGAAAAGCTTCTGCATTATCCCCCAGCCACAATGCTTCACTTTTCTCCATATTAACCATAGAGTTTGAAATTTGAGAATAACTTTTAAGTTATCTTTGTAACAATTGGTTATCTACTTCTGATTTCAAAAAAACAGAAATATCATCTGCATAAGCACAAACTTTGACCCTCTCGGAAACACCTTCTACCTTCACTTCCAAACCTTGAAAATTATGGTTTCCTTTTATTTTCCTTAATAGAGGGTCAATGCTAAAAACATAAAGCAAAGGACTTATAGGACAACCCTGAAGAACTCCAGATTCAACCTGAAAAGGGTCTCCCAAACTACCATTAATTAAAGGGAAACATATTGCTTCTTTATATAACATCTTCAACCATTTAGTAAAAGTATTAGGAATGCCATATCTCCGTAAAGTCTCAAATAAAAATTCATGGTGTACTCGGTCAAATGCTTTGGTCTGGTCTAGCCCTACCAAATAAATACCTTCTCTCTGCTGCTTAGCATATTCCACCACCTCTCTAACTAGCAACAGTGTATCCTGTATGCTACGATTCTTAACTGTACACGACTGACATGGACTTACCAAAATTTCAGCCACCGCACTAATCCTCATAAACATGACTTTTGCAAGAATTTTGTAATCAGTATTCAATAATGATAACGGACGCCAGTTCTTTAGCTCATTCAAATTACCACTTTTAGATAAAAGTACCAAGACTGAGGCATACTGTGAGGACGGCAACTGTCCCAGAGTTAGCACTTCATTATATAGCACTACAAGGTCCGTTACCAAAAGATCTAAAAACACTTTATAAAACTCTGCAGTTATCCCATCCAATCCTGGACTTTTCTTCCCAACTAATGATTGAATGCTATTTCTAACTTCTTCCTCTGTTATAGGCTTAACCGTGGTCTCAGCATCCACTGCATTTAATACCGGATTATCAACATCTTGCAAATATTTTACAATATTTTCATTTGCAATAGGCTGTCTTGCAAACAATTGCTTAAAATATTTTGTGACAATATTTATAATGTCCTTACTTTCTGTTTGTGTTTCACCATCTTGATCTACCAGTCCTGCTATGGCTTTCTTACATACTCTTTCCTTACACGCTTGAAAAGGATCTGGGGCTGTGAAACCCCAACTATCGAATTCATTTTCAGCTTTTAGAGAGATCATACGGTCATATTGGAGTTTTTTCATTTTATCCTTAACTTGATTAATGCTATTTGAATTCACAGTCTCACCATTATTGACCAAGGAATATAATCTACTAAGTCTAAGTCTTAGAGCAAGATATTGCATATATTGACAATTTCCTTCTTTTCTAGCTTTTGATTTAAAAAAAACTTTTAATATATTTTTTTATTTGTTCCCACCAACTCAACATCGTAACGTATAAGCACTGCGTGGTTTTTCGATCTTCATAAAAAGTAATGAATTCATGCTTAACATTTTCATTATCAAGTATTCTTGAGTTTAGTTTCCAGATACCTTTCCCATATATTATTCCTTCCTTTACCTTTAAGGACAGACTAATCATATCATGATCTGAAAACTCTACCAAGACTAAATTATATCTAAAAGATGAAGTTTGATTTTTTACATAGTCTATCTATACGACTTGCCCACCTCCCTTTATGATATGTAAATCCACGCTGTGTAGGATAATTATATTTAAAAGTATCAATCAGACCAGCTTGACTGATCAGAGGTTTTAGAAAATTTTCATCATATTTTAAATTTTTATAATTACTATTTCGATCTTCATTATTTACCACACAACGTTAAAATCACCTCCCATAATTAACACTTTGGATGTGAAACAATATGGTTTTACACTTAAAAACACTTTTTTCCTACCTGCTATTATCTGAGGAGCATATATATTAATTATTCGATATCTCACATCATTAAGCGTAAAATCTAACAAAAGGCATCTACCTGCAACAATTTCCACTATCCGATCAATTTGAAAATCACAGTTCTTAAACAAAATACCCACACCATCATAACTTTCCAGTCCAAATGACCAATAAGATGGGCCCATTGTCCACTCTCTTTTAGCACAAAAAACCTGGCTATTATTTCTTAATCTTGTCTCCTGTAATAAACACACATCAAATGATTGTTCTTTCAGAACAGTATAGAGTAAGTCTCTTCTCTCTTTTGATCTCAAACTGTTAACATTAAGCGAGCATATATGTAAAGTCATGAAAACCAAGGAGACTCAGCGCTTCTTCTTTACTGCTCCTATATTGTCACCTTGAGATCCCCATCGTTTTATTGAAACAGAGGCAGTTGCTTCTTCTTCACAGAACAACTGCAATTCCTCTGTGGATCGCCTTTTCCAGAGAGATCCTTCACTCTGTTTAAACTCCATGGCATCTTCACTAAGTTCGTCCAGGATAGCATAGCGACCAGCAGTTATCTCAAATGACGAAAGCATCTGAGGAGGTTTTTGTGACTCACAAGAACCTGAATATTTTAATTTCTTCTTGTGCTTTCCTTGCACCAACTGAGATTCTTCACTCTTTTTTTCTGGTACTGGACCCTTTTCAACATTTAATGGAGATTGTATTTCCTTGGCGTCTTTCCTTAAGATGTTTTCTGGTTCAGTAATGTCATCTTTCTGTGGCTCATTTGTATCTTGTTTCTCAGTTGTATTGGACTCTTCCATTGCTTCAGTAAGTATGCTTTCCAAATCTAGCACACAGTCGTTTATCTTATTATGGTATGCTTCTGGGCACTCTCTAAAGGTATGACCTTGTACAGAACATAAGTTGCATATTACGTCCTGCTTGCATTCTGATCTCATATGGCCCAGACAGTTACATTGAGAGCACTTTATTTTATCACAGCAATAGGCCAAATGCCTTGTTGACCCACATTTATAACAGCTTCTAGGCTGTCCTGGATAATAGCAAATGCCTCTGTCTGTACCAATAAAAAACTGTGTGGTAAATGATGAGTAACGCCCCCTGTCTGCCACAGTTTAACTTGCAGTTTCCATCCACCATTCCATAGCCCAATCTCATCATAAATCTTTTGTGGGTCACTCACAACTGTACAGTGTCTCTTTATCCAGTACATTATGTCATTTAAAGCCACTACTTCTGTCTGGAACTGGAGATTGATGGACACTGTAGCCTGTTTTGTGAGTGGGATAGCTTTTATATTTTTCCAGATACCATCTGATTTTGTCCTATGGAAAATCACCCAAAACATATCCAGGTTCTGCATTAGTTTAAAACTAATGTCAAATTGTCTTGATCCAGGAAAGTGAATAAATGCAAATATTTCACTTGCAGAAAAACCCATGAATTCCATTAAGAGTTTGCGACCAATGAATATTCTGTCTGGAATATCAGGTTCTGGTCCTGTGAACAACAGGCGCACTGCATTCTTCCGCTTAGATACATCTCCCCTTGATCTTGCTACATTTGAAAACAAATTCCCGCTTGCTGCAGGTTGTTGTTCATTTACCTGTGTGCTGCTCTGTTTGCTGGTTCCTGTTCCCATTTTAGTACCTGTATCCGGTCCATGTTTTTGTCCTTCTGGATTGCTAGAGCCAGTTCCAGATTGCAGATGTCTATCTGGTGATTCCTCCAGATTTTGCTTTGCTGTGGAATCCCTGCTTTGTGTTGTATCTCTTGCAATGCTTACACCAAGAGGTTTTTGCAAATCACTTTCTTTCTCAATAAGTCTTTCCACAACATGCTTTATGCTCCTAGATCTCAGCTTATGGACAGTTATTTCATTTAAGCATTCAGGTATGGCAATGCTGAGGGCTGCTGGTTTAATGCACCCAGGTGAACTCTCAGGTTTACATTCAGCAGCAGCCTCTCCTGTTTGAGCAGGTAAAGTCACTGGGCACATTTTATCACTTAATGTCTTTATCATTACCCTTACTTGCTTGTCTTTTAGCGGTTGTGTGGGTACCTTTTTAATCCTTAATGGGTTTAACTTTTGCATTTTATAACATTTTCTTTCCTCACCTTTTATTGCACTTTTCAGTTTTTCAATGCTTTCCTCTTTTACATCCATTGCCGTTTGTAGGGAGTCGATCTCCACCTGGATCTGATCAATCTGCTGCAGAAAACATGTTCTCTCAGATTCCTGGGTTACTTCATCCACTTTCTTTACCAAATCTTGCTTCTGCTTGTACAAATCATCATACATTGCACATAAAGTCTGATCATTAGCAGAAGCATCTCCCAGTCTTTTGTCCAAAACCATCAAAGCTTAACTAATTAAACTTTCCTTAAAATATCTGCTTTCATTTGTTTGGGCTTCTTGGCCTTCCAACACCTCCAGGCCTGGGAATAGAGCAGAACTAGTATCCAGAACACCAACACTCCCTCCTGGGTCTGAGGCCATCCTCAGTCCCCCTACAGGAGCTCCAACACATAGGAGTTATAGAGAGAGGTTATATGGAGTAATAGGAGGAGTTGTAGAGAGAGGTTTATGAGCAATAGGAGGAGTTATAGGGAGAGGGTATATGAAGTAATAGGTGGAGTTATAGAGAGAGGTTATATGGAGTAATAGGAGGAGTTATAGGGAGAGGTTATATGGAGTAATAGGAGTTATAGGGAGAGGTTATATGGAGTAATAGGAGGAGTTATAGAGAGAGATTATATGGAGTAATAGGAGGAGTTATAGGGAGAGTTTATATGGAGTAATAGGAGTTATAAAGAGAGATTAGTTGGAGTAATAGGAGGAGTTATAGGGAAAGGTTATATGGAGTAATAGGAGTTATAGGGAGAGGTTATATGAAGTAATAGAAGGTGTTGTAGGGAGAGGTTAAATAGAGTAATATGCGGAGTTATAGGGAGAGGATATATGAAGTAATAGAAGGAGTTATAGGGAGAGGATATATGGAGTAATAGGCGGAGTTATAGGGAGAGGTTATATAGAGTAATAGAAGGAGTTATAAGGAGAGGTTATATTGAGTAATAAGAGGAGTTATGGGGAGAGGTTATTTGGAGTAATAGAAGGAGTTATAGGGAGAGGTTATATGGAGTAATAGGAGGATTTATAGGGAGAGGATATAAGGAGTAATAGGAGGAGTTATATAGAGAGGCTATATGGAGTAATAGGAGGAGTTATAGAGAGGTTATATGGAGTAATAGAAGGAGTTATATAGAGAGGCTATATGGAGTAATAGAAGGAGTTATAGGGAGAGGTTATATGGAGTAATAGAAGGAGTTATAGGGAGAGGTTATATGGAGTAATAGGATGAGTTATAGGGAGAGGTTATATGGAGTAATAGGAAGAGTTATAGTGAGAGGGTATATGGAGTAATAGGAGGAGTTATAGAGAGGGGTTATATGGAGTAATAGGAGTTATATAGAGAGGCTATATGGAGTAATAGGAGGAGTTATAGGGAGAGGTTATATGGAGTAATAGGAGGAGTTATAGAGAGAGGGTATATAGAGTAATAGGAGGAGTTATAGGGAGAGGTTATATGGAGTAATAGGAGGAGTTATAGAGAGAGGGTATATAGAGTAATAGGAGGAGTTATAGGGAGAGGGTATATGGAGTAATAGGAGAAGTTATAGGGAGAGGTTATATGGAGTAATAGGAGGAGTTATAGAGAGAGGTTATATGGAGTTATAGATAGAGGTTATATGGAGTAATAGGAGGGGTTATAGAGAGAGGTTATATGGAGTAATAGGAGGAGTTATAGGGAGAGGTTATGTGGAGTAATAGGAGGAGTTATAGGGTGAGGATATATGGAGTAATAGGAGGAGTTATAGTGAGCGGTTATATGGAGTAATAGGAGGAGTTATAGGGAGAGGTTATATGGAGTAATAGGAGGAGTTATAGGGAGAGATTATATGGAGTAATAGGAGGAGTTATAGAGAGAGTTACATGGAGTAATAGGAGGAAATATAGGGAGAGGTTATATGGAGTAATAGGAGGAGTTATAGGGAGAGGTTATATGGAGTAATAGGAGGAGCTATAGAGAGAGGTTATATGGAGTAATAGGAGGAGTTATAAGGAGAGATAACAGAGATTAATATCAGTTATATGAGTTATAGGGAGAGATTATATGGGTGGCAGCATGATTAATTGTAAAGCTATGTAACATGGAGAGATGAAGAGATAATATGGCATATTGTAATACTAATTATTTTCTTCAGTCTTTCTCTGACTTAAAAAAGCCGGCATGGGAACATATTTTGTTGAGAAAGTGTGTGCTCATAGTGGGGGGGTTTCTTCCTTCAAGGTGTCAGGCTGTGGGGGGGTTGTGGTGGGATTGTAGGGGGGAGCAGGGCCAGCAGGCTGTCTCTAGGTTACACTGAACGCAATGAGGATTCAGCATCTGTTCCTCTCACTCTGTCTGCATCACAATGCCAGAAAAATACTAATTGCACACAGCAAGCTCAGGCCGCGTTAGGTTGTGGGAAAGCTAGGCCCGGAAGTATCAGCCCCTCGTTCCCACCGTGGAATGTCTAGAATCTCACAGATCCTTCAGGTACTGATAACAATGCAGAGAATCTCAATATGATAGCATAAATGCAGAGCAGTGTGTATATGTATAGAGTGCTAAGTAACAGAGCCGGGTACGCTATCTATCACACAGTAAATATACTCTGCCCTGGGGCAAATAAACCTTTTCACAAAGCATTGTGTACTATCTATGTCAGAACGGTGTCTACAATATAGAGACCAGGCTTTGGCGCTGCTGCCCGTACAATAAAAATAATAATAAGGACCAGAATAATTCAGACATTAAAACCAACCTTTAAAGATCCTGTATTATAATTGGAATGTCTCACTTATTTAACGGTAGTTATGCAGGATGTCCCATACTGGCATATTTGCTTTTTTTTCACTGTATTCTGTCTTCTATTTTGTAATTTGACCGTCGTTACTGCTGTTAATTTTGGCGGCAAATTTTAATTTAGTTTTAGTCATGGTCTTTTGACTAAAAAGCCATTTTAATTTTAGTTGTATTTTAGTCATCTGAATTTTTTTTGCTTTAGTCTAGTTTTAGTCTACAAAATTTAGTCGACTAAATCTCCAGAACATTTTAGTTGACACGACTAAAATCTAATGGGTTTAGTTAAAGCCTCTATCTGTCTCTTTTGCCCCTTCCCCAGCCCCTGTGTGTCTCTTTGTGTTCTCCCACTCTAGGTGTCTCTCTCCCAAGCCCTGGTCTGTCTCTTTTGCTCGCTCCACGGCCCCTCTATTCTTTTTTTATTTTTTGCAGCAAATTTCAATTTAGTTTTAGTCATAGTCTTTTGACTAAAAAGCCCTTTTTGTCATCTGAATTGTTTTTGTTTTAGTCTAGTATTAGTCTACTAAATCTCAAAAATATTAGTCGACCAAAAATTCACTAAAATGTTTAGTCGACAAAATTAACACTGCATTAGTGAGTCTGTATTGTGCACATAAAGAAGAATGTGTCAAACTTAAAAATTGAGAGAGGCATGTATGTAACATGGTAAGGGAGAGAGGTATTTATCTGTAACACACAGAGAAGCATGTATCTAACATGGTAAGGGAGAGAGGTATTTATCTGTAACACACAGAGAAGCATGTATCTAACATGGTAAGGGAGAGAGGTATTTATCTGTAACACACAGAGAAGCATGTACGTAGCATGTAAAGGAGAGATATATGTGTCTGCAAGATACAGAATAATGTGTATCTAAAATGCGCAATAGGAGAAATAGCATGTATCTAACATGTAGAGAAACAGAGGTATGTACCTGTATCAGAGAGCGCGTGTGTAGGAAACATGTAAACGGAAAGATAAATATATCCTTAACTCCTTAAATTACCACTATAGTGCCAGGAAAACAAACTCGTTTTCCAGCAACTATGTAGTCCTTAGGTCCCCCCAACCCTCATGGCCCCCCTCCCGCTGGGTTAAAGGGGTTAAAACCCCTTCAGCCACTTACCTTTATCCAGTGCCGGGCTCCTTCTGCGCTGGTGACCTCTCCTCACCCTCTGACGTTGGCTCCCGAGTGGAGCCGAATGCACATGCGCGGCAAGAGCCGCACGTGCATTAAAAACGTCAGCGTCTTCTCACTGTGATTTTCACAGCGAGAATCGTGGAAGAGGCCTCTAGTGGCTGTCAGGGAGACAGCCACAAGAGGCTGGATTAACCCTCAGTGAAACATAGCAGTTTCTCTGAAACTGCTATGTTTTCAGCTGCAGGTTAAAACTAGAGGGACCTGGCACCCAGACCGCTTTATTGAGCTCAAGTGGTCTGGGCAGGGGCGTACCTAGAGCATTTGGCACCCGGGGCGGATCCCCCTCCACCCAAAAATAAATAAAT